ACAGGATGAAATGCCCCTTCTTCTGATACCGATATTGCTCGTTTCATAAATAGCTGCCGTTGAACATCCAAGTAAAAAAATCTAACCTGCTGACCCGGTTTTTTTTTTTTTTCTGCTTTTCCGACTCTCATGTCTTCGTGACCTTTGTCAGCAACCTTGATGTACGATGAATAAATAAAATTGCAACTATAGTTACTTTTGGAAGTTGTAACGGAGTGACGTTTTTGCTTATGAAAACTGAAACTACAACAATGTTACATTTTACTGGTACCCCGCTGCGGTAGTCTAGAGGCTAAGGTACTCGGCTGCTGACCCGTAGGTCGCGGGACCGAGTCCCGGTTGCGGCGGCTGCATTTCCGATGGAGGCGGAAATGTTTTGGTCCCGTGTACTCAGATTTGGGTGCGCGTTAAAGAACCCCAGGTGGTCGAAATTTCCGGAGCCCTCCACTACGGCGTCTCTCATAATCATATAGGGGTTTAGGGACGTTAAAACCCACATATCAATCAATCATTTTACTGGTAACATGCCCATGATCACGGTGGCCATGCGATCATCTTCACACAAAAACGCGTGAAATATGTCGGCCGGTTACCAGATTTTCTGAAATGCGGGGAAAGAAGTAAAAAACAGCTTATATCTTCAAAACAAGCCAGAAGAAAGTATTCTTGAAGTAAGACTCATGTGTTTAAAAAATATGTCCGTTAAAAGACTGCAATGGCGTTCATTGACAGTCCCAGAAATCAAGCGCTTAAGCGGGTGAATAACATTTGTGCCTGGTTAAAAGGAACGACGTTCTGCATGAATAAATAAGGAAAAAGAAGAAAAAAAAGGCTGGCAGTACAGCTTGATTATGTCATCAAGTTTGGGAATGCCACAGGGCCTAACAATTCGAGTACACAGACGGTGCAGGAATTAAAACGCGTGACCATGGCTAAATTGCTATGCTGAAAAATAAGAGCAGGACTTAGGCGGAAAGACGCAATTATAATATTATTTGGGTTTTTACGTCTTAAAACCACGATATGATACTCAGAGCTACGCCTCGTTATGCAAAACCATTATGCCTTATGTCACTATAGGTTAAAAGTGAAACCATAGCCCATTAGCGAAACAAGCAGGCTTCTAGGAAATGGAGTTTGTAGTACTACACCGACGGCGACGAATACTAACTAAACCTAAATAACGGACTTGGCTGAACACATTGTTAAGAAAACCAATTTCTTGGGGCAGGTGGCAGTTGACAAAAACGAGTACTTTGCGGCATTGAATCTCATATCTAAGTTATTTCTGCACAGAATTCCGGCTGAGGAGTCCTGAGTGCAAAGATTGTGCTCTTCTCTAATCAAATCATAACGTGCCTTATCAGTAACGGATTCATATCAGCTGCGGATCCGGATGTTTTCACAGAAATCTTTTCGTAAATCATTCAATTGAAAATAACGCATTCTTTTCTATCTATTGTTGGGAAACTATGGGCGCGAGGCGGAAATGTCGTAGGCCCGTGTGCTCAGATTTGGGTGCACGTTAAAGAACCCCAGGTGGTCAAAATTTCCGGAGCCCTCCACTACGGCGTCTCTCATAATCATATGGTGGTTTTGTGACGTTAAACCCCACAAATCAAATCAATCAAACTATGGGCGCGAAGGCAAAAGCAAGCCACCGACAAGGATGTTCAAGAAAAATCATTCACAGCTTTTTATTAGCAATATCGGAATTTTTTTTTTTTCGCTTTGACGGTCACGGCGGTCTAATGATTATGATTCTTGGCTGCTGATCCGAAGGTCGTGGGATCGAATCTCGGCCACGGCGACCGCGTTTCCGATGGAGGCGAAAATCCTTGAGGCCCGTGTACTAAGATTAGGTGCCCGTTCAGAACCCCAGGTGGTCGAAATTTCCAGAAGCCCTCAACTGCGGCGTCTCTCATTATCATATCGTGGTTTTGAGACGTTAAACCAGGCCCCGGAAACTCGGCACTAGTTTCGGTTTCAAGGAACATGCTCGTAGCGGTTGCCAGGCATCCTAAGATTTCATTGAACGGAGTCAGGTTGATGTGAATGTTCGCATTTATTGGCTTTCACGAGTTTTTAAGAATAAAAAAAAATTGATACCCGTGGCAAGAACTTCGTTTTGCTTATATGATTTTTTATATCCCTTATTTTGGTAATTTTAATTCAGGCGAAGCGCGGGACGTGATTGACTTGAATTCGCAGCGCTTGGCTCCTCTCCTTTTCACTCGTCGCTCAGTCATATTAGAAGTAATGCCCCTGACACACGGGCACCCTGAAGTCCTTTAGACAAGGGGACATCTTTCGGAAAGGCGTTCGGGCTCAGTGACACACGACAAAGGAGTAACTCCTTCCCGGCAAAGATCCTTTTCGCAAAAGCAGATCCCGCATCTACTTTTCTGGCAGGAAGGGAGTACTCTCGCATACAGTGTGCACAATTTATCAATAGAAGAAAACGTGTCGCAACACTGCGGTGCCCTGTCAGTATTTTTTGGCGCTGAGAAAATGTTTTCATTTTCAGCAGCAGTGCGATTTGTTGAAAAGTGAAGGCCTATAGTCTGTCCATACTCTCAAACGCCTGCATTACGTCACTAGCGCGATCATGTTAGGGTTGGCAGCGGCAGCTGCTGTGTCGGCGACGTAGTATCATGTAACAATGGAGTCGGCTCAGTCGGTGAAGAAAAAACCGCGCGTCCAGTGGACTGAAAAGAAGACCTGGGCGCTTTTAAAGCTATGGGAGGACCATTTGGACGCCTTGCGAGGGCAAAAGCACAACGGTGGAGTGTACCAGGCGATTGCCGAGAGCCTCACCGACGCCGGTACTCCCCGTACACGGGCGCAAGTGTGTTAAGATCGGATCAACTGTTGCTTTATCTCTGTCCCTGCGCTGAGACATCGCAGGACCACGATGAAACGCGGCACGCCGTCACTGACCCAGCTGGACGCAGCCATGTAAAAAGCACGACAAAAAACTCAAACAGCAAAACACCTACTGTTCATAGTTGCCATACGAACTTAAGTTGCTGCTAAAAATGCAGAAAGCGATAGAAAATTACAGGTATGCGCAGTATAGTCCACCAGACAATAAAAAAACGGTTTTATGCTCCGGCGTCGCTGAATTTGATGTGCATGCGCAGATTCTTGTTAATATTTCCAATCTTGCTCCTTCCACAAACAGCGCCATTTTTTCTGCAGCGTTCTTCTGAGGCACCGCCTAAAGCAGCTGTCCGGTGCCGTGTGTCATCAGCGCCACTCCTTTTTGCAAATGGTCCCCTTAGGCGACAAAAGGGGTTTACTTCAAAGTACTTTACTTTTGCCCGTGTGTCACGGGTATAAGATCGCACTCACTTATCTCTCTCGGTTGGCGTGCATGTAAACTACGGGAAAGATAAAGGCAGCAAGTCGTGGCGGGCAGAGAATGGAAGCCGCAGTGAGCTACGCCGAACAAGTCAACCCTGCATTCGTCGAAGGTGACCTAATCGGGCAACACATGTTTTCCGCGCCTCGGCGGTGCGCTAAGATTTCTAGTTCCGCGAAGGTTTTTCAGCGTTTCCTAAAGGCGATGGGTGATCACAAAGATTTAAACCCATTATGTAAGCAGGTATGGATCTTGCATGAGTACATGAGAAAACCCAGTTCTCTGCATGCAAGCCTGACAACTGACAGAAGTGCAGTGTCGCTTGACTAATTGGTGAAGACGGTAGCCAAGCTCCTGTCGGAAAAATGCGTTTATTGAAACCCTTAAATTCGAGTTGGCTCGGCTACATAGTTTTAGCTTCTTTACTTTTGACGTGTATAGAGTTCAAATGATGCCATGTAATTATAGGCTGCTTCCTGCTCATTTGATAATTTGTGAGTCTTTACTTCTGACACTGTCACTCAATTACACGTGATGGCCCAAATGCTTCTAAATATTATTACAAGTAATGTCGGTGAGGCCAACGTTTTGACAAGTTAACTTTTCTTCGTCTCGGTAACTCCGTTGCCCTGACAAGGACAAGTCAACTTGCCGAAACACTATTTCCAGCGACGTTCTTTCTCGAAAACCTCCCCGTGCCTCTGAAATTCAGTCTCGTTTGGTACACAACTTCTGAAAGAACACTATGTGCGCCTTCATAACGAACGTGATCGAGTCAAATACAACATGCCCTACTCACAATTGTAGATAACTTTCACATTGGTTCGGATATTCTGGGTTTAATATTTGCTCATTATGTCCGTATGTCAGATGTAAGCTAAAGCTGATTTTATAGATTGACATTTTCACACTACGTGTATGTCTTTTTTTATATACAAAACGTGTAATAAAAAGGTTCATTTCATTTGTGCCAATTCAGTTTCGTCTTATACTGAGCCATCAGTCAGCTTAACTTTCGCCTCTTCAGAACACACGAACAAAATTTGAGCGGCCAGCGGACCCGAAAGAAGGCGCGAGCGCATTCCGCTTGCACATGCGAAGAGGGAAAAAAGGGCTTCCGCGGACACCATCCTCCTCTCAATTTTTCGTCCTTTTCCTCTATTTGGGACGTCACCAGGGGCGTCATGAAATAAATTTTGTGTTCGTGATTTATTTCTAGTAGAATGCCGGGCAACCGCCAGTGGTAAAAGTGGCGCTACCGCTGCGTATCAGCATGCGAGAACAAATACATGGGAGGTAAAGAGAGTTCCCGCCCCCAGGTTAAACCCCAACGATTATTATTATTCCTTTGTTTTTATCCGAACTGGCTAAAGCGAACGGTATCACAATGATCTTTATTTGGCTAATTAATGTCACTTGAAAAGTTTCATTAGTAAACCGATTCGAAATTGGCAGTACGTTTCGGGCAAGCGAAGACTCGCGTCAAAGTAGACGCACGTTCATGCTCCACGGGCAACGTAACGCGAAACACTCTTCCTTCCTGCGTGTACTTTTTTTCGCGCTGCGGTTATGAAATCCATCCTTCCTTTGCTTTTTCATTCAACAAGCTACCACGAAGAGGCGAGGAATTACTCACAGGATTTCCATGTTCCTCAGACCACGCAGAGCTGACTCGTCAATGCAGGAGATCTCGTTGTTGTCCACCTGGCTGAAAAGAAGAGACACAGAATAAGAACATCCACCGTCATATCAAATCACTGCTTAAGCAAAAAAAAAATGTTTGTGTCCAGGAGCAAAACACGGAAGTAGCTATGCGGTGCGAAACATGTCTATGTGGTCTCATGCACACATTGACCTTTCAGCAACACAGAAGAATCTTTGCATTTCCACGGTGGCAACTTTCAAGATTGAACAGTTCGTAACTTCTTTTAGCGCTTGCTAATCGGCATCAAAGACGAAGGCATTTTACAGTACTTGGGCAACTATAAAAAAGAAAAAAAACGTGGTTGATCTCACTTTTTAGGAATCGTATAACAGGAAAGTGAAACGTGTGCTTGCAGATGTAGTTGAGCTTTTATTGTGCATTGTTTCGCCACAAGGGCGATAAAATGAATGCTACAGCAACAAATTGCAATGTCGCGCGAAGACAAGCAGCTCTAAACTTGCAGCACACACCTCAAGCAGAAAGCAAGCACGAAATGAACGTATAGGGAGGGCAAGAGCGAAAAAAAAAAACTGTCACAGCTCGAAACTTAAAGCGCTTAAAGTACGCTGCTTAAAACAGAAAGACGCACAAAACGAATGCACAGGGCGAGCAAAGAGTAACATATAAATTACAAGAGTGGTCGCTCGGGCCAAATCCGGCGGAGCTATACGCAGCTTCACGCCAGCCGTAAGATAGCAACACATCACGCACTGCTTCAAGAAAACACGCGTATTATATAGTTATTCACTATAGTACCTTTTCTAGTACATTATACGTCTACATGTTTTTGCGACTGTCAAAGTGGCCTGAATCCGTCTTTATCGTCCGCGATTGTACGCTGCGATATTGTCGAGCAGGATCTGGCATGAATCGGATGCGAGAGAAGCACATATGGGGTCGACGCGACGGCAACATTGGGCGTGTTCCAATACTCACCGTGGACGGCTAAATAGACAGCTAAATGGACGGCGGCCATCTTAAGTCCCATTCCAATTCTCACGTAGCCGGCACAGTAGACAGCTTCGAGAAGACCGCATCATAGACAAATACGATGCAGGCTACTTTGCTGTCTAAACAAGATGGCGGCTCAGCGAATCGCTCAGATAGATAAAATCTCGCCAGAATGGCCGTCTGCACACAAGCTGACGCTTTCCCTGACACTCAATGTGAGTAAAGTTTATTTGTTTTTGATTTCAACACGAAACAAGCCAGAAATTACAACTTTTACGTTTGTTTCTTTTAGATTTTTCTTCTCGACGCAAGGTGGTGCATTGTCGCGTAAAAGCGGTCTAAATGTGTTCCATTTCTCGGACAGCATGGGTTTGATGCTGTCTTCTAAGCAGTCCTCGTAGACTGTCTACATTGGAAGACAGCCCAAGTAGCCGGCAAAATACACAGCTCAGAGAAGACCGCATCGTAGACAAATACGATGCAGGCTACTTTGCTGTCTAAACAAGATGGTGGCTCAACGAATCACTCGGATAGATCGATGTGAGTGACATTTATTTTTTTAAATTATAACATAAAATAAGCTAAAAAATGACACTTACGTTTGTTTATTTTGTTTTTTTTTTCTTCTCGACGCGAGGCAGCGTCTCGTCGCGCAAAAGCCGTCCAGACGTGTTTAGTTCCGTTTCTCGGACAACATTAGTGCGATACTGCCTTCTAATCTGTCAGCGTAGACCGTCTACGATACGGCCTAAGAATTGGAACACAGCCGTTGTCACGCTCAGTGCTCATGAGCATTTAAGGCAATGAAGAAGTACGGACCACAGCAGGATTACGCGATAAAAATGTGCGATAACGTTGATAACGTGCCCGGCAGCCCGGTGTGCGTCGTGGTCTTCGCTTGTTTCGTCTGCCTTTCAGCTTGGTTGCTATGTACGAACGCCATCAATATTTTGTAAAGTGCGTATTTAATTCGTCATTGAAGCCTAACATTTCTCTCACGTCACTAACATTTCTCTCATTGTGCTGTTCGGCGCAGAGAGCTTTGTTGTGCTCTATACTTGGCGTATTATTTTACGGGGATTAATTCACACGAAAAAAAAAAATCAAAGAAACAACTGTGTAGAATGCTGCGCAGCACGTTTGCGAGAGCAAATCGTTTCCTGGCTCAATAGAGTGAGTCTCCGCTCGCTTTGTTAGGTTTTTGTTTGTGCCGCTAAATGTATTCTAATTCAATGCATGAGTGAGATTTTGTGAAAAGCGCAGTTATGCTTAATGTCTTTGTCTGTGGCGTTCGCAAATTGCTTAAAGCTCTTCCGGACGCTATAAGAAAGAAGCGATGACTCTAGAAAAAAATGTTTGCTAGCTAAAGCTAGGACGTATTATGAGTAAACCCTCCTGCCTAGTTTACAGCTTGCATGGTACCTACAATTGCTTTGTTTTTGCTGCGGCAACTGCTTGCCACTGTTTTTTTTTTTTTTTGCGAAAGAGCGATGTAAAGTGTGCAGGAGAAAATTAGTGCGAAGATGGGAAAGAAAACGTAGCCAACATTCTTCTTTTCTTTGTTGTGTTCATGGCGTAGTCTAGTGCTGATTTTGAATTCTAATGGCAGATCCAAATCAAGTTTTTCTGCTCTGAGCGGAGCAATCGCATTCCAATGGCTGGTTGGGAGTGTGAATCGTGTGTTCCAATGGCAGATTGAGAGCAACCGCAGATCACGGATTGCTCCGTGGAGCAAGAATTCTTGCGGAGCTCCGCCGCAATCAGCGGATTTGACCGGAAGTTCAAGTGACGTATTCTGTGCGGCCGCCATTCGTCCAATCACCGATGGATGTCCGGAAAACGCTTTGCACTCCCTCGCGCCCTTTCTTGCTCCCTCGCAAGATTTCCGCTCACCAACAGCTCCCGTCAAGACGCGCGCTTTCCAATCGCAGATTTGGCGAGAACAATCCCGCTCGAATCTGCGCGCTCCATTCGCAATCCAGCCCAGCGCTCACGATCTGCCATTGGAATTCAACATGAGGCAACTACTGCCGCGCCGTGTTGTGCACTGTGTGTGTAGTTGTGTGCGTTTATTGCAGTTTTACTCTTCTGCGGGTATTCTAATATTGTTGCCAATATGTTTACTTCTTGTGTGTAATTTATAATTAATATATGACAACTGTATTTTCTCGTCTCGCAGTGCAATGAACCTCTCTTTGTGTCTGCGATATCAAAAATGAACAAAGTGCCCCGCCACGGTGGTCAAGTGGCTAAGGTACTCAGCTGCTGGCCCGCGGGTCGCGGGATCGAATCCCGGCTGCGGCGGCTGAATTTTCGACGGAGGCGGAAATGTAGGCCCGTTTGCTCAGATTTGGGTGCACGTTAAAGAACCCCAGACGGTCGAAATTTCCGGAGCGCTCAACTACAGCGTCCCTATTGCAAAAAACGGCGTCCCCAGCGTGACGCCAGAACGTTTTTTGGCACTGGTACACGCTGTTATTTACTGGTACTTCACTGGGCGCACCGGGAAATAGATGCATCGCACTAGCAGGGGCACTGCATTAACCGCTGTGATGGTAGTGCACACTGGGAAGCGCTGGAATTTTCACTGGCAAGGGCTGGTGCATACTGGAGCACGCATTTTTTCTTCCAGTGCAGCGTGAACATAATTTAGCATGTGCTGTAGTATGTTTCGACGTCGTTGAATATAAAACGCTTGATTTGACGGCACGGATAGAAGCTACTCTAGCAGATCCCGAGCATACGTAACTTTTGCGGTGCACGTATACGTATCGCAGCATTTAATGCACCTTTTTCGCATCTGCCCCCGCATAAACCGGCCATATTCGCATCAGTCGTGTATTGCTGTAACGATTCCAAGTTGCAGTGTTCATAAGCCTGGAGCTGGACGCCACTCCTTACAGAAACAGGAAATTCCTTATGTCGCCAAGTTGGCGAAACGTAAATGAGCTCTCGCGATCGATTCGCAAGGTTTCCCAGCGGAGGCGAGAGAAACAGCTGTCGTTCGATTCCGCCATACACGTAAATGGATATCTGCCAGCCATGCTTATCTTTCTACTTACTTCAGGTAAGAGTTAAAAATTGTTCCGAAGCTCAAATGCAGAAACTTCAACCATCCCAACTAACCGCGTCGAAAACGGTCTTACTCAATGCCCCCCCCCCCCCCCGCGAGCACTATAGGTATATCTTGCTGGCCGCGTTGGTGTGTATGTTACCAGCGCCTCTTGCTTCGTGTACACACAATTTTAAAATGTGAGAATAACCGTAAAGTATAGTTTAGACCCCGATGAACCTAAATCAATTATTTTGTCTTAGTCGCACAAGGAGCGCTGACGATTGATGCATTACGCTTTCAGCTACGCAGGTTGTCAACGAAAGCTGCCGGCCGCACTTAGCCGGTACTTCTCTGACTGGAATGCAAGAACATGCAACTTCCAGTTGGTAATTTGGTACGCCTTCGTGAACTGACTCCCTGGCATACGTTTTCGGCGAATTGCATTAGTATCTCTTTGGGCGTTTTTTTTAGTTGTTGGTATTGATATAACTGCAAATCTGTACACTGGTATGCCGGATGTGTACTGCTACATCGTCGCTTGCGCGAAAAAAAAAACAACTCAATATTCACTCGTGTGCGTGGATATCTACCATACAAGACATGTAAATGATCTGTTCTTGTTGACCAGTAGCAAGTGTTAGAAACGACTATCAAAGGAAACTATCGGCAGCAATAGCTGACAATCTGTGGCTGCTCCTCCAGTCAATTTGAGATTTTTCATAGTTAAGATGTATATGTTTAAAAGAACTTTGCGCTCTTGCTAATATCTGCACGTCATTCAGTGCCCGGAAGCCGTTCGTCACTGTCGAATCAAGACGCAATTGTTATTTGAAAAAAAAAATATCTCGTGAATCTTGACTGTGCGACTTGCAAACATGAAGTCGAACGGCGTGTTCTTAGAATTACCACTCATTTCAGAACCCAGCAAACATGTTCTTGCGTGGCTTAGTACTCGGATTGGAATTTGAAGGTGACAAGTTCGAATCCTGACATAGTA